GCGCCTCAACTCCTATACCCGGCTCTGCTCCCGCAGGCTCCACGGCTCCTATGAGGTCATGCGAGGCGGCCACATGAACGAGGCTTTCGTGGACTTCACAGGCGGCGTGGGCGAGGTGCTCTATCTGAGACAAAACACGTCGGGCCTCTTCTCTGCCGTGCGCCGTGCCCTGGCCAAGGAGTCCCTTGTAGGCGCCACTGCCCTGGTGAGAGAGTCTAACTCCCACGTGGGCCCCCACCGGAACCAGAGCAGTCAGGGCTGGGGCGGGGGTGCTTCCTTGTGTCCCTGTCTTCTCAGCTGCTGCTGTTGGCTCAGTCTCTCACAAATCAAACTGGCATGAGTCAGAAGGAAACTTATTTGCTCTCGTAACAATGCAAGCTTCAGGCATAGCTGGATCCAGGTGCTCAGGGAATGTTGCAAGTGTGTTTTTCCATTCTTGTGCGTTACCTTCGCTCTCAGACTTCCCTCGTGGGCAGAAAAGGGTCCCCCATAGCTGCAGGTGTCTCCTCACACCCCAGGGGTTAAAAAAGAGTGTTCCTTCCTGAGAATCTTGGCAAAAGTCCCAGGATTGACTCTCATGGGCTTAGCTTTGGTCATGTGTTCATCTCTGACGCCATCACACCCTCATTCATTCACTGAGTTGGTCTAATTCATTCATTCCTTTACTTAGTCCTCTGCTGGGTTACTGATTCTTTGGTGTCTTTCTGCCTCTGTTCAGCATCTTTGTCTGTCTCTCCTCTTTCCATCTATTTTTTTGTCCCTTGTTGCCCCCTCCCTCTCTCGCCTTCACTCACCAACCCCACTCTCTGAGCCCTGCGCCCTGGTAAGGCAGGAGGTGGGGGCAGGGAGGAGCAGCTGCCCTCCCATCCCCCGCCTTGGCCTCACCGTCCCCTGGTCCCCCGTCCTCCGCCCAGAGCGATCGCGGCGAGTACCGTACGGAAGACGGGCTGGTGAAGGGACACGCGTATTCGGTCACGGGCACGCACAAGGTGAGCGTCCCCGTGGGAGGGCCGGCAGGGGCTGTCCAGGCACTGCCCTCGCTGACAGCGCTGCCCTCAGGTGTCCCTGGGCTTCGCCAAGGTGCGACTGCTGCGGCTGCGGAACCCCTGGGGCCGTGTGGAGTGGACCGGGGCCTGGAGCGACAGGTGCGACGGGTCGGGCGGGTGCGGGGCTCGGCCCCACCTGCGCCCGCCTCACACCCAGTCTCCCCAGCTGCCCGCGCTGGGACGCGCTCCCCGCCGAGTGGCGAGACGCCCTGCTCGTGAAGAAGGAGGACGGCGAGTTCTGGTCAGTGCGTCGGGGTCCCTCTGGGAGGGGCGCCGGGCCAAGGGGCTCAAGGAGGGACAGGTCCCACTGGAAGGGCGATGAGGGGAGCCCGTGAGGATGGGAGAAGCTGTGTGTAGTGGTGGCAATTTGGGTGTCGGGCTCTAGTCGAGGAGTCGAGTACTGACGCTAGGGGTCTGCAGGCACAGTGACGTCCGGGGTGAGGGAGGGCTAGGAGGATTTGGGGCAACGGAGAGGGGCTCGGTGACATTTGGGGCATTTCTCGAGACTTGGCAGCGTTGGGGGCTGAAGGATGCTTGTTGATCATTGGGAGTCTGTGGGCCTTGACGGTTGGAGTTTGAAAGCAATTTGATGACATTTGGGGGCAGCTTGTGCATGTTGGCGATTTGTGGGGAATTTCTGAGGACCGAGGGCTCAGCCGTTTGGGGGGCACGTTTGGAGACGGAAGGGTACTTGGCAATATTTACAGAATATGGGGGGCTTTGTGACTTGGGGGTCATTTCTGGGGTCCTGAGCTACTTGGGGGCCGGGGGCCCTGGCCCAGCGGGGCCAGGCGGTGCGTGACGCTGGCCACTGTCCAGGATGGAGCTGCAGGACTTCCTCCGCCACTTCGACACCGTGCAGATCTGCTCGCTGAGCCCCGAGGTGCTGGGCCCCAGCCCCGCCGGAGGCGGCTGGCACATCCACACCTTCCAGGGCCGCTGGGTGCGCGGCTTCAACGCTGGCGGGAGCCAGCCCAGTGCTGGTGAGGTCTGGGGGGGCCCTGAGAGGCAGGCTCGCGGCTGTGGCGGGCCGGGGACCCCTCTTTCTTTCTCTCTCCTCTGTTAGAAACCTTCTGGACCAACCCCCAGTTCCGGCTGACACTGCTGGAGCCTGATGAGGAGGACGAGGATGAGGAAGGGCCCTGGGGGGGCTGGGGAGCAGCAGGGGCTCGGGGCCCAGCACCGGGAGGCCGTGTGCCCAAATGCACGGTCCTCCTGTCGCTCATCCAGCGAAACCGGCGGTGCCTGAGGGCCAAGGGCCTCACTTACCTCACCGTGGGCTTCCACGTGTTCCGGGTGAGGCCCTGTGCCCAGTGGAGGCCTGGGCAGGGTGGGGGCTGAGGGGACACGAAGGGGTGGTGACGAGAGGGCCGGGCTGAGTGGGCTGAGTTCGAGAGGGAATGGAGGGAGAGGCTAGGGTGGGGACAGAGGCTGGGGGTCAGAAGGGCCAGAAGTGGCCAAGGAGACAAAAAGTGCTGAGGGCACAGAGGGGGGAGGGAAGTGGTGGGGAGGGGTCAGCAAGGGCCTGGGTTGGGGACTGGAGACGGAGGTTGCAGTAGAGGTCCGGTAGGGCGGGTAGAAGGAAGGGGCAGGGGGGCGAGGAGAGGATTCAGGGCGGTGGCCACCTTGCCCCTGCCCGCCTGACGACTCCCCTGCCCGCCTGACGACTCCCCTGCCCGCCTGACGACTCCCCTTGCTCTTCCTCCTTACAGATTCCAGACGAGGTGAGCCTCCGAGGGCTCCAGACGCCCTCCCTGACAGCCGGTGCTCGGCCTCCCTGCACGTGGGACGTGGCGGGCTGGGAGGGAGCGGGAGGGAGAGCCTGGCCGGGCCATGGTCTCCCCGCCTCGTCCCCAGCTGCTGGGCCTCTGGGACTCCCCGAGCAGCCGCGCCCTCCTGCCCCGGCTGCTGCGCGCTGACCGCTCGCCCTTCTGTGCCCGCCGCGATGTGAGCCGCCGCTGCCGCCTCTGCCCCGGCCACTACCTGGTGGTGCCGAGCGCCGCCCGCGTCGGCGACGAGGCCGACTTCATGCTGCGAGTCTTCTCCGAGCGCCACCACACGGCCGTGTGAGCCCCGGGGATCCCCAGACCCACGTAGACCCGCCCGGGCCCCCGTAGTAGACCTACTTCCTGGTCCCCCGTCCCCGGAACCTCCAGTCCCGTGGGGATGAGCCCAGGCCCCGAGGGCCCTGCCTAGACCCCACCGGAGCCCCCAGCCCCAGCCCGGGGGCGAGCGGCGCCCTCCCCACCTCCGTCTGTGATTTGCAGGGAGATCGACGACGCGATCAGCGCCGACCTGCGGGTGCTCCAGGTGAGGGCTGCTCCGGGAGGGGCGCGCTGGTGGGGGGAGGGCCCCTGCCCGGAACTAAACGCCCCCTCCCCGCCCCGCAGGGCCCCTGCATGCCCCTGGAGCTGGGCTTGGAGCTGCTGTTTGCGGAGCTGGCTGGAGAGGTGAGGAGGGGGGCGTGGCCCTTCCTCACCCGGGGGTGTCATTTTGGTTTAAGTCTTCCCTCCCGCTGGCATTTAAATCTCCTGACCTACTTTTCTAGAAATGCTCAGGGCTCTTCCCTGCCTCAGGGACTTCAATCAGTCCCTAACACCGGCCTCATCTGGGCTCTGCAGGTGCTCCTGGCCCAGGCCCATCACGGCCCTGACCACTCTGGGGCTGGGGCTGTTTCCCCCACTGGGCCGAGGGCTCTGAGGGCGGCCAGAGCGGTTGGGTAAGTGGCCTCACTCTGCGCTTTCCCTGACCAGGAGGAAGAGCTTGATGCCCCGAAGCTCCAGGCCTTGTTAAGCGTCGCCCTGGAGCCTGGTGAGTCGGTTGGGGGGTGAGGGGAGGTTCTTGCCAGGGCCCTGCAACCAGAGCCTGACCCCCCCCACCCCGGTGTGTGTTAATCCACGATGCTGCTGTGAGTGGGGCCATGGGAGGCCTGGGCTCAGCCTGGCAGCGTGTCCCTGCGTGTGGGTCCTGGTTGGTCCCCCCTGGCCACCCACAAGCTCCCCTTCCTGAGTGGGGGGATGTGTGGCTGCCTTGAGCACAGGCTCGGACCCCCAGCCTGGAATCGGATCCCAGGCCTGTTAGTCACAGCAGTCCCTGGCTGGCTGTGCCCTAGTTTCTGTGAAATGGGGAAAGCAGTAACGTCAACTTCGGGGAGTTACGTCCACAAAGCCCTTACGGTGGCGGCCGGCCGGCCGTGTGTTCAATTTTTCCCGTAGCCCGGGCCCACACCCGAACCCCGGGAGAGATCGGGCTCAGGACCTGCGAGCAGCTGCTGCAGTGTTTTGGGGTACATGAGGGACGATGCCTGGGTGGGAGAGATGGGTCGGGTGTGCTGGGGTCTCTGTTCCCCTTCTGGGGACATTGACCATAACCAACGCCCCCATCCCCAGCACGGGGGAAGCCTGGCCCTGCACCACTTCCAGCGGCTCTGGGGCCACCTCCTGGAGTGGCAGGTAAGGTGGAGGGAGGGGCACCTTTACTAACAGGGAGGTGGGCACCCTGGGCACTAGCGGGGTCCCAGGGAGCAAGTGGGAAGTAGACCACCCTACGCTGACTTGGAGTGATCCGGCCGGGATGTCCCTGACCCATCCACCCCTCTGTGGTCCCTGTTGGGCACCAAACAGCTGAGGGATTGAGAGCACAGCCTCTGGGGCCTGGGTTAGACTCTCAGCTCAGCCCCCTTCTGGCTGCGTGACCACGAGCAAGTCATCTCCCCTCTGAGGGGCCTTTGCTTGATGGCCAGTGGGGGCTCTGGATCCCCGTGGGAGGAACTGGCCCAAGGCCCCTCTGCACTATCGCAGCGATAGGCGCTGTTTACTGAGCCTCATGGAGCTCTTTGTGGGTAGAATCTAGAGGTCCAAAGTGGTTGGGCTGCTTGCCTGGGGCCCACAACCAGAAGAAAGGGATTCTGGAAGCCCCCCCTGCCCCGTGCAGCCCCCCTC